AAAGAGAGAGAGAGAGAGAGAGAGAGAGAGAGAAAGAAAGAAAGAAAGAAAGAAAGAAAGAAAGAAAGAAAGAAAGAAAGAAAGAAAGAAAGAAAACAAGCGGTCACATAATACACTGATATCTATAGAACATCAATGTGAAAAATACAATATAAAGTGTGCGTGCATACACATTACCACAGCAGTGCTCACGGGAAAGCGTATGCGCACTTCCATATTACTAGACAAGGATGAGAAGTCAGAACCACGCACACAGCAATCTCCATGCACTAACCCCCTCTAGGTCCACAACATAAAGCTTCGAAGCCTCCCTCTCGGCTCCCGGTGGTGGAAAGAGAGAATGCTGCCGCTTTTCTTTGGTTCTGAAACTCTGGGTCTCAGAGAACAATGCTTCGAACCTGAGGCTTCAGGCCCAGAAGGCAATGGGGAGGTGGGGGGGCGGGGAGCGGGGAGAGCAAGGTGGATTTGGCTCTTACTTGCATGGTGGTTTCATTGGCGGACAGGACACTACGCAGCCTCTCTAAATCATGATCTCGCTCTCGCACAGCTAGGTGAAGCTGCTGCAATTCCTTGTCCTTTTCTTCTAGAGCGGAGAACTTTTCCTCGAGAGCCCGCTGCAAGGAAAATAAGGCTCCTAAATTCCGGATAGTTTAATTCCTAAACTATCACCTTTAATCAAGTCGGTCCCAAATGTGAACGAACAGAAAACTGAAGCCCCCACGCAGTCCTTCAGACACTGAGTGTGGCCAGGCCACCGGCAGAGGCATGGGGGAGCTGGCTGCGTACCTCCAGAACAGCAGCTTGGGCTTGTATCTGCTGCTGCATTTTCTCCAGCAACAGCTCATTCGTTTCTGGAGTTTTGTCTGGGTTATCTCGATACCGTAGGAGCTCCTGAAGTTCCTAATGAGACAAAAGTACTTTCCTTTATCCTTTTACCTCTTAGCTGAATTTCTTCATTGTTTTTCAAGGAACTTGTTATTTAGCACATATACACAAAATGCTCAGAGATAACAGATATGTAACTTGTTAATGATTCTGCAACAAACAGACTAGCAGGTGAACTAGTCTGCTCACGGAAACACAGAACACGCTGCCTGACTCTGCCTAAAGGTGTCAGTAAAGATTTCAGCAAGGATTTTGAGCTAGGCCTGGTGGGGCATTCCTGTGGTGCCAGCAATAAGGGGGCAGAGGCAGGTGGATTTCTGTAAGTTAGAGGCCAGCCTCGGCTACAGAGCTCCAGGTCAACCAGGGCCACATTCTCAGACCCTGTCTCAGAACAAAACAAAACCAAATACAACAAAAAGATACTTCTCAAATGAAGATGTGGCATGGGTCCTGTGAGGGAGTGGGAATTATACACAATGGTACATAAAAATCATATGCTCTGAAATTTAAGCAATTCAATATCCTGAAAGCTCAGAGTGGGTAACAACTGATCACGCCTCTTAGTGCCCCATATTCCCCTAACATTTTCACTCTGTCGTTGAATTCTGTAGAAGTTCATATCTTCTGTCATGTCTCAGGAAGCAGAATGTCTGCCTCAGAGGTGTTCTGTGTGCTGAATACTGCCTACGCAGTTTACGTTTGCACACAGAGCTAGGTACTTGCTGGGTAGCTGCTTCACAGATTGTATGTTCTACTCACTTTACGTGTTTCCAGCTCCATCACTCACACACGAGGCACAAGGCAGGCCTTGAGGTGGGCACCTGAGAGCTCCAGAAGCTGGCTTTGGTTGGAGAACTCACCTGAAACAGTTGCTCTTTGAGACTCAGACTCTGACGTAGGTGTTGAATGTCTTGTTCCCGGATTCGAATCTCATTGTATTTTTCCATCTCTAGGGTATTAAGCTGTTGGTTCTTACTATGCAATTCTCCTTGGAGGTGTTGTAAAGCTTTCCGTAATTCCTGAAATAAATATACCCTCTTTTTAAACTAACCTCTTCACATGATCATCAGGTATGAAGGTCTTAATGCTGTCAAGACAAGCTGGGCATGATGACCCCTGTCTATAATCCCAGCTTCCAGAGAGCCCAAGGCAGAAGGATCTCAAATTCAAGGCCAGCTTAGGCAACACATTTTGATCTCATCCCCAAAACAAAACAAGACAGACAAAAACTACAGCATGAAATATAAAGTAGCAAAAAAAAAAAAATCATTATTTAAATTGATATAGAAACGTATATAGGGTATAAATCAAATAGGATATGAAAGCTTATGAAAGTTATGGAGTAGAAAGTCGATTTGACAGCGTAGTTCAGTGTTCGTTTTCTGATCTGAAAGGAGAGCTCAGCAGTCTGCTAAGGGAGAGTCTGCACTGTACCCCGGAGCCCTTTACTAAGCTCAGAGCTGCTACCATCTTCCTCCCGAAAGGATTCAGCTTCTTAATTTTCATTACACCTCAACCCTGAAAAATATCTGAAATAATTCAGGGCTCATAATTAATTTCTGAACTACTAAAGTAGGAGATATAGCATGTGCTCCATGCTAACAAGATAGAGGTAAAATGCTTACATGCTAATTATACATGTAAATGCCCCTCCCTACTTTACCTAATGACTTTTTCAATTCAATTTATTTATTTACTTATTGTGTGTGTGTGTGTGTGTGTGTGTGTGTGTGTGTGTGTGTGTGATGCATATGAGTGCAGGTGTGCATGTGTGGAGGTCCAAGGGAACAATGTTCAGGAGTTGGTTTTCTCCTTCCAGCAGAGGTCCTGGGGCTCCACTGCTTGTGAGGCAAGCGCATTTGACTTGCTGGGCCATCTCACCGGCGCCAGCTGCCTGTACACTTTCAGAATGACAGGCCAGCAGATACCTCCTCCTCCATGAAGCTTTCCCATGCCTTCCTCCCTGGACCCCTCCTAGACACAGGAACATAAAGCTGCATTTTTTGGCCGTATTCGCCCTATTGAAACTGCCACCTGACTGCCTCTCCTATTAAACTAAGTAATTGAAGAGGCAGAGTCTCTGATATTCACCTTTGTATTTCCAGGACACAGTCTGCTCACCTGGTACTTGACCCACGGGCAACAAATACGGAACCAGATTAGACTAAGCAAATGATTCAGGGGTTCAGGTTCAGCACACACTGTGCTGCTTAAAAGTGACCGTAGGGGCAAAGTCAGCCTCGGGAGCCACCAAACGGTTAATGATTTACCTGGTTATGTTTCCAAGCAGCTTCCTTCTGTTGCTCTCTCTCCCGGGCCGCAGCCTCTACAAACTGCATGCACCTCTTGACATCGGCCAGTTGCCGCTCTTTCTGGCGCACCAGCCTCTGGAGCTTCTGGATTTCAAGCTGGCTACAGAACAGAGCACTCTGAAGATCAAGCAGGGCCACCTGTTGCTGAGCTGGGGCCGCGCCCTCTGAGCTCTGAAAAGGGCAGAACCATAGTCATAACCACAATCACAAGGCCTGGAGCAGCAGAGAGAACTGTGCAGCCCAGGGGACGCCACTCCCGCCGCCTACAGCCCTCACGTACCTGGAGCTGTCCAAGCTGGCTTTGGTGCAGCATCTCACGGAGCTTTACCATTGTGTCATTCTGTCCTTCGATCACCTGGTACAGCTCCTCGGTCTGGAAACGAGAGAGGGATAGCATGCTGATGGTGGCCAACTACACATAACAAATTACCTTGTCTCTCCTGCACAGACGCCAGCAACAGAATCATTCCAAAATACTGACTGAGGGGACAGGTTTGCTAGTCTCGCAGAAGTACTTACCACTTCCACAGAATGAACTATTTCCCACAGCTCTGTGATTACATAACATTTTACCTCACTTTCCCTGCTTTTTAGCGATTCCTTGAGGCTCTGGATTGTCACATCTTGCTCCTGAGACGACTCCTGTGCAGATTTTAGTTCACAGCTCATTTCATTCAGTTTCTCTTGAAGAATCTGAAGTCAGCAGAAAAATTCTCGTTAGCTCCATGATGGTTTTTAACCTCGAGGGCCATCAAACTGTCCTGTACATGTGGGGTTTAGAGAAAGTCTCAGGGCATATTGTCTCGTTTCTTCCCCGTGCATAGTAACCATGAGAGTCTGAACACGAAGAGAAGTAGCAAATATGAACTGCTTCCCTCAGTGCTCAAACACCTCAGTTCTCATGGGCTGCACACTCTCTCTGTCAAAAGCCATACTATTCTTCCGGCCCTTCCATAGGACCAAGGAGTGCCTGCTGCCTGGTATAGGACAGGCTACTATAAACGCGTACTAGAGCAGATTTTCAGGAGCCCCCTTGGGACGACTGCCTTGTAAGCAGATATTAAATCTACGGACTATATAGGAATAAGAAGACACACTAAAATCAAGAGCACGGACTTCTGGTCTCAGAGCCTTAGTATATAGAGTTAAGGATTACATAGAGGGTCTAATCTCATTCCTAGATGGCAGCAGGAATTGGGGTACGCATGGAACAAGCTAAAATCCTGAGAAGAAACAAAGGGAAGGTCTGAGCAAGCTATGAGGATCTGAGTTTGACCCCAGCAGTCACATAAAAAGGTGTGTGCTTGTAATCCTAACTCTGGGAAGGTGAGAACAGATGGATCCCTGAGCTTGCTGGCCAACCAACCTAGCCTAATTTTCAAGCCCCGGGTCCCAGTGAAAGACTACGTCTCCCAGATACCCCACGGTAGATAGTTCCTGGGGAAGAGTACCTGAGACTGACCTCTAGTCCACGTGCACCCACATGCATGTGGACTACCTGTACGCACACAACTCACACATACAAGGAAGGAAATAAAGATGAAAGTGTAGAACTATACTTTGAAATCAACTGTTCCCCAGAGAACTGGGGATGCCACAGTATTCACCTCCCAAGTCCTACTCAGGATGACGGAGCTGGGCTAGAGCCAGTTCTGACCATACCTTGTTGGTGGCCTCTGTTTGCTGGATTTTGTCCTGGAGCTCTTCCGCGTGGGAATCAGACGCAGATTTACTGATAACAGCCTGGGTGACAGGGGTCTCCTCTGAGCTCAGCTTCTGTTGCTTGAATAACTTTTCAGGCTGGGGCTGGGAGACAGCAGAGACAAGCACACTGAGTGAATGCAGTCAATGACCCATTTGATTTCCATGTTCAGACTGGGCCTCCTTTCTCAGAGCGCACTCTTAGCAAGTAGTAGGACTGTCTTCCGGAAGTCACCTGGTGATCTGTTCAGCAACTATGGTTTCCAATTATCTGAGACGCCATCCCTACTAATTGTCATTCTCTACCCATTCTCACAAACACTGCTTTGTCGGGTAAAGCAAATAACTCGGAATTTAAAGAGAAGAGGCACTTAAAAAAAAGAACAGGATTATGTCAATCAAATATTTGCTTCATTCTATTTCATTCTATGTCTAACCAGGAAATTAAGACAAACATCGAAGGGTCAAAGTTATATTCCAATTACCTGTCCTATAACAAGCCTGTTTGTATTGTTGGAAAACCTGTAGCCCCTTTTTTTTAAATATGGGCCATCCAGAAAACAGCATTTCTGGTCACCAAATCTTCTTAATTTATACTACTGTTGATAGGAGATGCCCTTGTTCTTAAGAAATACATATGGAAGTATCTAGAGCAAATGGAAAATCTCTATAACTATTAATAATTCTCACTTGTTTGCAAGGCAAAATGTGGCAAAACAGCAGTAACACTTGGTAAATCCAGGTAAGGAAGCGTGGGAGGCTTTTGTCTTTTTTTTTTTTTTTTTTTTTTTGGCTCCATAAATCAAAAATATTAAAAATGAAGAGTGGAAAATAAAAATAAAAACATAACCATAACAGTCTGGAAGGACATGTGCTTTCTAAGACTACTGAATCTTAAAGAGCACAAGGTGGACTACATATCAAACTATACCTGAAGATCACGAGGAGCTAAAGTACTGGCTGCCTAAGGAATTCATGGTGCGTTAACTCCTCCCTCCCCTGCCAGCCCCTTTCTCATCAGGAAAACAAAGAACTGCTATTCGTGTTTTTCTTTCTTCACACTCTCAAACTTTACCATCTTCCAGGGGCTGGGGTTACAGCTGCCTGTAAATGTCTTCCTGCAAGGGGCTGGCTGGAGGAAGTCAGGTGTGTTCTGTTTCCCCAGGGCTGTTTATCATGGTTTCTAACACTAAACACAGAGCGCTGTGTGAGGTTCTGTGGGGAATACAATTCAGGCAAATATTTAGCTCTGGATCCCAACAGCCTTGGTCTCTTGAGGAAGTGGTCACACCAAAAGACTATTCATCTTGACAGGTCATATAAAAAAGATTCTTGGGAGAGACAAAATCTATCTAGATCTATAATGAAGATGAGATGCTTGCAGCTGGCTATGGCAAGTGAGGAAGAATGTTCTGGGGAAAGGGGAGGAAATGAGTGGGGCTAATGGATACAAAATATCAACTTTGTTACTTTTCTAAGCAGAGTGATCTTGTAACTGACCACTCACATCAAATCACCATTTTTCTTTTCTTTCTTTCTTTTCTTTTCTTTTCTTTTTTTCCTTTTGAGATGGTCTCACAACCCAGTCTGGCCTCAAGCTCACAACTTTGTCTCAGCTTCTCAACTGCTAAGATTGCAAGCCTACTCCATGGCGGCCAGCTTCAAACCACTGCTAAGAATGAGAAAGGTGCAATTAATTCTGTCAGGAAAAACAGGTACAAATAAGGATGTTTTATTACCTTGTTTACAAGCCCATAGCTCTATCTGAGCAGCTCATTAAAAGGCTGTTTTATCCCCACTAAACAAATTGATAAAACAAAACCTTCAAATCCTAAAAGGTGAGATGATCAAAGTGGTACTAAGACATAGTCCCAAACATAAACACATGGCAGGAAATTACAACAAGCAGAAGAGTTCTGAAAGTTGACTAATGACTCATGAAAACGCTCAGCCTTCTGAGAGCATCCTCTAGAAGCTGGACTTGAAGGTTTGCTTTGAGAAGACATGGGGGTGAAATGGGCCCCTTTACCCTGGTTACGCCTCTCAGTACAGCTCGTTAACTTCATCCGCTCCCTCAACACACACCTGTTGAGCACTAAGGAGCACACACTATGTTGGAGGGAAACAAAAAACTGCATAGGACAAAAGTGACTGCTCTTGAAGCAGACTTTACAGCACTTGGATTTGGTGGCTACGCAATAAATACGGAAATACAGAGTATCCGCTAGTGGTTCCTCCTTTGTAGTAACACAGGAAAGTACTACGGAGAATTGGAGACTGTTACTTTGTATCAACTAGAGGAGGGTTCCTTTTGAGACAGTACCCAAATGGACATCTGAAGGGGTCAAGAGATAGTCATTCCAAAGCAACAGAGGATCCAGCCAGGCAGAGAGAACAGCTGACGGAATCTGAGCCTGGGAAAAGAAAAGCCTGTATGTCTAGAAAGGTATATTCCAAGAGAAATACAGCCTGAGCCACGGGTGTAATTTTTAATTTTCTCATAGCTTCCCTGAATACATTTTTAAAAAATCGAACTTAGTTTTGACAATGTGTTAAAGCTAATATTTTTAAAACATTACAAATGTGATCAATATAAAAAATAAGACATTGTAATTTTTAAGTATTTGAAATCTGAGGTCTATTTTACACTTAGAGTACATTTCAACTCAGATTAGCCACGGATCAAGTGGACAAGAGGGGTACAGGCTGGTGGGGGCCTTATTAGAACACATAGGACAAGGGGCAGTGTAACAGGGTCAGGTGTTAAGGGAGGCACACATGGCCCAGGTCTAGGGGATAATTCAGCTAGCTGCATCTGAACTGGGATGAGAAGTGTCTGCAGTATTTCATGTACTCACATTTGATTTTTGATGGTGCTGGGTATCAAACCCGGGGCCTCGGGCAGCTCTGCCCCCAGCCCTGACTGCAGTGTTTTCTAGCAGAAAAGCAATCCTATTTACATGTTCAAAAGCTCGCTCCAGCTGCGCTGTCGATGATGCACAGTTAGGAAGCCCCGGCAGAAAGGCGGTCAGCCAGGAAGCAGGTGAAAGGTGGCTGGATCATAAAGACAGCAGTGAGAAGATAAGTGGATGGGTCTGGGACCGTTCATGTGCTGTGGCTCCAGACAACTGGAGGCCCGAGAAGAAGCAGCAAGGATGATGACTCCCAGAAATACTTGAGATATTTGTTGTGAATAAAAGATGCCTCCCCTGGAGCAATAGCAATGATGTCACACGCATACCACAAGAGATGACTGAAATGGATACCTACAATTCTAACGGACAAAGAAAACTGTCAGTGATTCAGTGGTAGAGCAGCCTCTCTAAGACCTGGCTTTTTGTTTCCTCGGTGTAAAGTAACTCCAGTCATGTCCACTACAAATATGAAATCTCAACCACAGCAAGCAGAATTGAAGAAATTCACTCCAGGACTGGAGATACAGTGCAGCTGTTATGTTTACCTAGCATAAACAAGACCTCAGGCTCAAGCCCCAAATCTCTAGTGCTGGGATCAGGGAACAGTTTCACTATTAAAACGGCAGGAAGGTAGTCCTAGTCATTCACTTTACATCGGAGAACTTAGGGCTCTGAAGGAAGCCACACGCTAACCAGCCATTCCAATCCCACTTTACATACAAGGAAACGGAAAGCTACATAAGGTGGGTTAAGATATTCAGGTGACAGAAAAGGTCCAGAAGTGTCCAGGGAAAACTAAATTGCAGCTGGTGATGCAGCTTTTATTCCTATGAACCCACAGCTCACCATACCGTCAGGAACATTTTAGGGATCAAAGGTTTGTGCTTAATGAATGAGACCCATAAAAACAAACCAAACTAAAAGAGGCCTGTCTCCTACTTCCCAGGCAATGTTCTAATCCTTCAGCAGCCCTCTTGGAAGCAAGACCATTTCCTTGTATATGTTTCTCTACATGCCCACGTTTATATTCACATATATGTGGTCTCTACGCCTCCATGTATAAACACAGGGATACAGGAGGGGCAACTCTGAGGCAGAAGATTGCCACAGGCCAGGAATCTGCATCTCATGTGAACGTCTCAGCCTGAATCACAGGAAACTTCTGATTCTGTGAATGACTTATTTAAGACATGGGAGGTGTCTGTTTCTCCTTTCTTCGTAATTTACTCTTTTATAGCATGGAAAAACGCCTTTTCAGAGAAGCCCAAAGGCCATTTAATAAGCTCCTCTGAGTCAGGACTGTGTACTAAGTTCTTGTGAAGTACCAAGCACATAAGCTTATAGGTCCTAGAAAGATTCAACACAGCCCGATGTCGGTGATCCTTAGATTAGTAGCATTAGGGTAATTCCCAGATACTTGGCTTCTACAACCATGACCTAACCACAATGTCCTTTCAAATTAATTACTTTCAAGTCAGAGTTAGTATGCATGCTTCATCAATCTGGAAAAGGAGAGCGATGTCCAGGCCTAGTGTACACAACACAAGGCTAAAGAGCAGTTGTTTTTACCTCTGCATCGGCAGCATTTTTCCGGGCATGTTCTAATCCTAATAGTGAGTCACAGATCTCAAACTGCTATAATCGCCTATCCTACTGTTAATCATCAGAGACAAACAAGATCCAACGGCTAGCATAAAATTAAAGACCCAACCTTTGATTAGTATCTAATGTCTATATTTCCCAAAGGGCCTGATCTACCTAAATATACAGCAAAGGTTTAAGTGGGGCAAATTCACAATAGTCCCAAGGGAGCAGGCCTTGCCATTGTAAGGTTTGAAGCAAAGATGTGCTCTTTGAATTTGGACAGAAAGGAGCCTGTAGTGGTCCAGAGCTCTGCGGATTGCTGTTTACTAAGGGGCCACACCCCCTTATCATAGCTTTTCTATGTCAGGAAATAAAGAAGGAAATTACTACCCAGAACAAGACGTCAAACCTTTCTGCAGATGATCTGAAGAGCCAGGGTCCACAGAAGGCAAATAAATGATTTGCATAGCATCAGTAAGCAAGAGAAATATACTGTTGCTGTTTATCTTACTATAAGGAAGGAGGTGTAGGGGGGAGGGGGGGAGGGAAGAAAAGCCACCAGGAGGGATCGTCATGCTGACAGTTAACACGCATACAATGGGTTAAGTGGAGGACCAAACAAAGGAATCAAAATGGCTAAACAGAACGGTCCTATTGTAGGAAAAAGTTTGCTTTCAAGGTTCTTGTATCTACAAATCAAAAAGAAAACTAACAAAAAACAACTTATTTCCCCATCGTGACCAGCCTATTTTCAGATGCTAATATGAGAATACCACGTTTAATTTGTAGCATCTGTGTCTGGTCACAGAAACACTGGGCCAAACACAGAAGTGAGGCTCCATTAAGGAAAGAAAGGAAGCACCCAGGTGCTAGGCATGTGATGAAAGCAGGGTTTTGCATACATTTTAAAACATTCCTTGTGCTTTCTACTAAAGTTCTTATTGGTACACAAATTTTACACGCAGCCTAACTATGTCTCAAAAATCCCATTTCATTGGACTCTCGACTTCACTCATTACCAGACTGTAAGTCTCTGGACCCCTGTTGACAGAGGACTAAGATTCCCAGTGACTTCTAGATTGCCCACCTTTGCCAATTGTGCCAGGATGTTGAACAGAATTAACTGAATCCAGCATTTAGTGTTGCTGTGGAAACAAAGTAACAGCTACCTGGTCCCTGTAAATAGCTGAATTTAAAAGGGAGGTCTGTAGTCATGTAGGGGGACATGAATAGTTCAAATTAAGTTCATTCTCCAGTCATGAAGAAAGTCAAGACTATGGTGAGTGAATCCCTTTCTTACTAACAACTACCTCCCAGGAGGGCTGAGTAGAAAAGCTGCCTGTGCAGTCTTCGCCTTAACTTTATGAGTGACAACATTTGAATTCCCAAATATCTCCCATGAACAAGTCACCATTGACTCTCAAATGACTGTTATTATAACAAACATTGCCCAGATGTTCCTTCGAGAGATTAACAGGTTTTACCCTATGCTATGCGCTACCCATTTTGAGGCATCTGGGAGATGGAAAGCTTAACGCTCCAGGGAGAACTGGCCAGGAAGCTAACTCTCTTACAGAAAGACAATGGAAGATATCATGCACAAATCTAAAAACAAAAATGGTAAAAAAAATCAATGGGTGGGGGGACTTTTGGTGCCATAAGTGAAATGAAATGTCTTCTTTCTACAGGACTTTTGGTATGTAAAAGATACGCAATTTTGACAATAGAAAAATCAACAAAGAATGCTTAAAAGGTTTATGAAAAGCAACTTACCTAAGTGTAAGTCACATTTACTAAATGAGGCATGAGCAAAAAGTATAGCCAACATGGGCCGGGCGGTGGTGGCGCACACCTTTATTCCCAGCACTTGGGAGGCAGAGACAGGTAGATCTCAGTGAGTTTGAGACCAGCTTGGTCTACAGAGTGAGTTCCAGGACAGCCAGGACTGTTAAACAGAGAAACCCTGTTTTTTTCCAGCCTAGAACATTACTATCCTGAAACTCATCAAATCACGGGAAACCTATGGGCAGCTCATCGGAAAGGCACGCGTGGAGCCATCATGGATACCTGGAACTGGAGTGGCAGATACTCGTCATCGAGGTCATCCCACAGCTCCTGCAGGTCTGAAAGGTCCAAAGGATAGCTCACAGGTGTCAAAGGCCTGTTAAGGAAACTGGAACTAACTCCATTTGTCATGATATGGCCAGGCTTGGCTCCAAGTGGGCTGGATTTCACTGGAATTGGAAGCTTGCTCCCTCGGGGACTCTGGAGGGGCTTGTATTCAAGACCTTTAATCATGCTAAGAGCTAGCTCCAGTTTGTGGTTACAGAAAGGCTGTGGAGCCTGCTCATCCGAACAATAGTCACACTTCAGAAGTTCTTTGGTACTCCTCTCCGTTTCCTCCTCTTTCTGTTGGGGAGGACTGGCCTGCACACTAGCATCCAAAGATTCCACCGAGGAACCTGGCGTCCCTTCCTCCATGCTTTCTCCATCCGGGGGAACTTTTGTGCTTGCTAAGTCTGGCGGCCCAACCTCTGACAATGCTGGTTCTTCGGTGCAAATGCTGGTCGAATACCTGCTAGAGGGGGCATAAGAAATACTTCTGGCCACTTTGCGAGGCACCTTACAAATGGCTTCATAGTCAGAATCTGCAACCCGCAAAGCCGCACAACCGCGGCATCTCCTGGGTCGGTTTCCGGGGCCTTCGGAACCATGACAGCTGTGTGACTCCTGAATCTGATCCTCATTTTCAACCCAGCACTCAAACCCTGAAAAGGCAAAGTCTTCCTGGAGCAGTGCGGAGTACCTCATATCTGGCAAGCTGGAAATGTCCACCGTCCCACTCCCCGCCTTGATCTCCTCGCCAGAGTCATCGTTATTCTTCCGATACATACTGGCGATGCAGAACTTGAGGCGATCCTTCTCCAGCAGCAGCTTCTGCAAGCGCTCGATAGACAGGGCTTCGATCCTTGCAATAACAGTATCGAATCGATAGATGCGATCGAGCATGAAAGCGCACTTGCTGCAAGCAAACTCGGCTCTGCCATCGCGAGTGACATCTTTGCCCAGGACGTACGAAAGCAGAACTTGGAGGTTGAGCTTGGACGTGGTATGGAAGATCCAGCGCCGCTGGTTACCACACAGCTCCCGGGCACAGATCCTGCAAATCTCTTTCATCTTTACTCCGGGAAGGGTGGCCGAGCGTCTCGGTAACGGCCCCAGCTGCGAGCTGCGACTCACTGGCTCTGGGATGCGTTCCTCTTCCCACCTCGATTGTCTGGGGCTGGCATGGTCCTGCCCGGGGTCCTCACTGGGTAGGGGCGCACCTCGGAGCGCGCAGGCTCTGGGTACCACTCGGCCAGCCCCGCCCCTCGGTCAGGGGGCGGGCGCGGAAACACCGAGGCGGGGGGATGCTGAGTGACGGGATGCGAGCCGAGCGCCGACGCTGCCAAGGCCCCCTACAGCTGTCTCTCCGGCGGGCCGCCGTGTCCTCTACGTCCTCCCGGGCGGGCAGGCAGGGCTCCCGGACGGTTGCAGAGGCTCCGGGCTGACGCAAAGCCCGGGCGAGGAGGCATCAGATTTCAAGATGGCGCCGGGGCCGGCGGCCTCCCCGTGACGCCTCTGGGAGTTGTAGTCCGACCGCGGCGGCTCTGCGCATGCGGGCTGGCGAGCACCTCGCCCCCGCCCTCTCCAGCTATCCCGATAAACGTGGGCTTATCGCCGAGAGGAGCGTGGAAAACCAGGTGTCGGGCGGGTGCCTGGCTGCTTTACTCTGATAAGATCTCACCAAATGCACGCCCTGATCCCTTCGAGGGCTCCATCTCCGCTGCTGGATGCCTGGAGGCTCCTCCCAGGGAGGAGAAAGCCCAGTCCCCTCCCTGTCGGTCCACGGCCCAGTGCCACGTACTCTGGACGTGGCCTGGCGGTGCCACTAGGTACCGCTGCGCCACCGCCTTCTCGGGCCGCCGCCCCACCTCCTCTCCTAAATTCACTCTGGCTCTGGGGTCAGAAGGCCCCAGGCGGCCGAGATGGGTGGGGAGGGCCTGATAACTGGAGGAGGCAGGTAGAGCGAGTTTGGCGCTGCCAAGCTAAGGTTGAACGTTCCCTACTATTGGATGGATCTAAGGATGGGGACTAGTGTGTCAGTGTTGGGGGATGGGCGGCTAGGCCTCGCTGGCCTACGTGTTTGGTCCTTTTATGGAGTGGGGAGTGGAGCATGGCCAGCGCACAATGCAAGCACCTGAGAGAGAGAGAGAGAGAGAGTCCAGCAAACTCCCGGGTGGCTGCATCTGTTAATCAAGATTTTAAAGATAACAAGAGAAAGGGCTTTGTCAAGCTAGAGGCCTCCCGAGATTATCACGAATTCTCCTTTTCGACATGGAGAGGGGAGACAGAGGCTTCTTTGAGAACGTTTTCAACTCAAGTGCTTCAGAATTAGGGCTGGAAATTCACTGGCATAGTTAGTCCTGGGTTTTACTGCCGTGCAGTTAAGTCCCCCACCCTTGTGTACAGAACTTCACACACAGAGGAAGGGAACGTGGAACACCTGCTGGTTGAGATGCAGGTAACACAAAGTGTTGTGGGTAAGAATTCACTTCCGGACTTGAGAGGCAAATACCAGAGGAGGAACCCTGTCCCCAGGAGCCGCTTGAACTTCCCCCAGAGCAGAAACTCAGGTCCCTAACGACTTATGAATTCTAACATTGTGAGACCCGAGCTGTTGTAATTATTCTAATCACCTAAACAAAATCCTGGAGCTTTGTCTGCAACGTAACTTTGCATATATAATTTCACCTAAAGACACAGATTCTGATCCTCTAGTCAAGATCATAAAATGGGATTCCAAGGAAACAGCTGCAGTTTTGTATCCTCTAGGTATGTGAGCTTGAAAGTCATAAGAAACTGAGCAACAATCTGAAATATACAAGAGTTTCTGGACTCACCCTAACTGATGGACATGTAGAGAGCATTCTACTCCCCCCTAGATAAAATACTCCAAAATTACATCGAAAAATAGTGAGTTATCATACCAGAACTAGCCCTACCTAACATGATCATTGGTATTTAAAATCACTTGATCATAGTCAAAAGGTAATTCAGTGTAGATTAAAACAAAACAAGCTGGGGGTGGGGGGGGGAAGGTGGCACACACCTTTAATCCCAGCACTCAGGAGGCAGAGCCAGACGAATCTCTGTGAGTTTGAGGCCAGCCTGGGCTACCAAGTGAGTTCCAGGAAAGGCGCAAAGCTACACAGAGAAACCCTAGCTCAACACTGCCCCCCCCCAAAAAAAAACCCAACAACAAACAAAACAAAACAAAACAAAAAATCTTGAAGCCTAAAGTTTCAAAATAAAACTTAGAAGAAACATTACAATACATTTAGCATTTTATGATCCTTATGGTCATCTTCATCACAATTTGTAGTTAACAGTGGCTCCTTAGAAGGAAGCAAAATGGGGTGGAAGAAACTAACTGAAGATACATTATTTTATAGACTATGAATCATTTGAATTTAGACCAACGAATATTCAGGTATCAGCTTTAACTTTCTGGGTTTTTTTTTTTTTTCATTAAATATTTTCTTTAAAAAAATTTAGCTTAAAAAAACTGTATGTGCATGAATATTTTTCTTGCATGTATGTATATGCACAAAGGTATATGCACCACATATGTGTCTGGTGCATATACATGCAGGCAAGTTCAGAAGGGGGAGTTGGTTTCTCTGGACCTGAAACTTGCAGTTCCAGATGGTTATGAGCCATATAAGTGGTGGGAACTGAATCCATGTCCTCTATGTCTATGTAAGAGAAACAAGTACTCTTAACAGCTAGGTCATCTCTCCAGCCCTAAATGTCTTTTAAATTTGGAAAAGACCCCAGAAGTAAAGCCAAAGGCTGTGCCAGTTTAACATACCAGGTTCTACTTAGATCTAAGCCATAAAACTTGAAAGTAAAGGGAAATGTTTGTAACTTGCATGATGTACACATAGTGTGGGCAACTCAATATAGACAAAGGCTCAAATAGGGATATACAAATTAATGATGGTTATATCCGGGGACTGGAAATGAGTATGTTTTATGTGACCTTGGAATAATCTAGAGTTATCAGAGAGGAAGGATCCTCAATTGAGAAAAAGGCCTCCATAAAATCTGACTGAAGGCAAGCCTTGGGGCATTTTCTTAACTAGTGATTGATGTGTGAGGGCCCCGCCCATTGTGGGTGGAGCTGGCCCCAGGCTGGTAGTCCTGGATTCTGTAAAAAAGCAAGCCGAGCAAACCATGAGAAGCAAGTCAGGAAGCTGCACTCCTTCATGGCCTCTGCATCAGCTCCTGCCTCCAAGTTCCTGCCCTGTTTGAGTTCCTGTCCTGACTTCCTTCAGTGATGGACTACAATGTGGACATGTAAGCTGAAATACACCCTTTCCCCCCACCTTGTTTTTGGACATGGTGTTTCATCACAGCAACAGTAACCCTAACTAAGGCAGAAGACAAAGACATTTTCTGGGCCAGTAAAGATTTTCTCTGCCATGTCTTGAATGATGGGTACGTGGGTTTGTGCAGCTTCCAACACTCATGAAATCGAGCACTTTCAGAGTTGTAGATTTGATCTAAGTATATGGTACTAAAATAGATATGTAAAATGTAGATATGCATTGCCTAAATGCTTTTAATCTTTAGCAGAAAACAATCCCCACTTCAGCACAGAATAGCTTTAAAAACTGGGGAGATAAAACACAGTCTGGAAGACATTCTGTAAATGGCCCAATTGCAAATGAAAAAAAAGTCTTGTTCTTGTTTAATATGAAATTTAGAAAACACAGTTCCATGCACGTGCATCCCATGCATGTAAGACTGAAGTAATGTATGTGATTAAGGTGAGGCTGAAGATTTTTGTGATGGTTTAATATAGAATGATTACTTCTAAAACTTACTGAATGCACAAATAGAAAGCTTGAGAGTGGGTTTCTTATTGTGGAGTTATCACTGGGCTGTATCAGTAGTTTGTCCTGAGGAGAATGAATGATAACAACCTGGGTGTGGAGGCTCATGCCTACAATCTTAGCTTGGGGGAGATAGAGGCAAGAGGGTAGGGAATTCAAGGTAGTCCTCAGCTACACAGTGAGATGGAGGCTAGCCTTGACTACATTCAGACCGTATCTCTAAAAAAGAAAGAATAAAATGACCGGTGAGCACATTCACAAGCACTTAGTAACTTAGTGCTTACTGCTTAGGTAGCTAACATTAGGTGACGTCACTTACGTCTGGTCCTTAGATTCCTAATGGACAATATGAACTTTTAAAATACAACAGTTTTCAGACTTTAGTATCCCATCAGAATGAGGTGTGTATGTTTGGGGGGGGCGGGTATTAAAATACAGATTTATCCAATCTTGGACCTCCTAACAAATCCCCAGTCTTGTTCATGCTGCTATCTGAGAGCTGTATTTTAAAAGTCACTGAACTAGAACTACTAAGTTGGGTTCAGAAAAAAACTCAGTAAACATCCAAAGTTCTTGGGAGGCTGGAGAAATGGCTCTGTGTTAAGAGCACTGGCTGCTCTCAGAGAGGACCAGGTTCAGTTCCCAGCACCTACAGGGTGGCTCACAACCGTCTGTAACTTCAGTTCCAGAGGATCTGCTGCTTTCTTCTGATCTCCATGGGCACTGCACACGTGGTGCATAGATACACACATGCACATAAAAATAAAATAATTTTTGAAAGAGAAAAAAGGCCAGAAGTTATACAGATAGATAAATGAAAAAAAAAAATCTATCAAAGAGCTATTCACAACATTAATGTTGAATTTAAAAAACTATACCATAGTTGGAGATGGTGGCTCTTGCCAGCATATTATCCCAGCACTCATGAAGCTGGGGCAGGAAGATCAGAATGGCACTGCCAGCCTGTGCTTACACTGTGAGTTCCAGGTCAGTCCAGGCAACAGGGGGTGACCCTGTCTCAAAAAATCAGAAAGAAAAGGAAAAAAGGAAGGAGGACTATATTTCCATTGTGGTGGACAAGTATTGCTGTGGTGGCATTTTGTTGGTTGTTTTGTTGTTGGCACCACCCCTGTTTGGGTATCAGAGTCGAAGGAGTCTCTCTCAGAGCCCCCCACCACCACCACTTTTGTATCCACTGTATGGCAACAAAGCTATGTCTCACATCTAATTCGGGCTTGGGAGGGAGTTTCCAAGGGAAGGAGAGGTGGGAAACCCCCATGTTCCAAACCGGCTGTACTGGGTTTGATGCCCTAACTGTTCTAATTAATTAAAGCTCTTCCCGCCACAAAAATGGTTCAGGAATAGAAGATGAAACAAACAAACAAAAGAAGAACAAGATGATGAAATAAAGAGTGTTCAAGTAAAGCCGTTTAGGCTTAGTGCTAGCACACAAACTGGTACATGGTCTCTGTGTGCTGGAAACTAGAAACAGTGATGCTTTCCACTAATTAATGCAGTATTTGGGAACGTGGGCTTTAAAAGCAGGAGACTTCAGGTATATCTACAGATTGCAGTCATGCATTTTAGCAGAATCTGAGTTATGATAGTAAACATCAGAACCTTTTGCATTAAGTTGTTAAATAACTAGTTTCATAAATAAAACTTTGAGTATGTATTAAGTATGTAAGGCAGTCAACATGAATGTATGCAGACGATGTTTTCTCTGGCTTTGCTGAGCCCTCAGGCAGAGGTAATTAGAATAAATGCCTAACTAAATGGTACAGACACAATCTGGTGTGGGAGAAAAACACTGAGACCAGTGTGGACTGAGAACATTGGAGGAGGCAGGCGTAGCCTGTGAAACAGCTGTCAGAAAGGAAAGAAGATAGTATTATTCTAGGAAGTTGGGGTGAACACATTTTTGCCTATAAGTAAAGGAGAAAGTGGGGATTGCTGAGCATCCATGTGCATCTCTCTGCATCTAATCCTCTGCAGCTGTTCATGCACAGGTATTGAGGTCCAACTGTGTAACACACTGTCACGGAGGACCTTAGCAAGCAGCATTTAGTTACAGTATTTTGACCAAAGCAAAAGAATTTGGACATGATGTCATGCACTTGAGCAGAGAATCGAACAAAGAGAACTATTTTAGGAAACTGGGCTGTGCCACAGA